CCAGAATACACACACACACACACACCAGACACACGTCAGCAGCGTCTTACGTCAGCGGCGGCACTGAACGCGGATCCACAACAGAACCGGAAGACAATACAATGCTGAATAAAGTCGTAGTTTTTGTTATTTTTGGACCAAAATGTATTTTCGATGCTTCAACACACTCTAACTAACCCACTGATGTCACATGGACTACTTTGATGATGTCTTTATTTCCTTTCTGGACATGGACAGTATACCGTACACACATTTACAATGGAGGGACAGAAAGCTCTCGGACTAAATCTAAAATATCTTAAACTGTGTTCTGAAGATGAACGGAGGTCTTACGGGCTTGGAACGACATCATTTTCATTTTTGGGTGAACTAACCCTTTAACGATTCGGTTAACAATGATATGGCAATTAATTTATCAAATGAATTGCAAGTACACACATTAATCTACACTTGCCAGATAATAACATTGTATACATTATAAAAAGTTGCTTCATAAATCATATATTGTTTGTTTTAATTCCATTTCAATTAACTAATGCCTATCGCAGACTTACAGTCCACAAAACCCATTCATCTGGCAGTTCACATGAAGGTTCGAATCGGGTGCCGTGATTAATTGAATAAATTCATCACATTAAGTGTTCACACTAAATTAGCACAATACATTAGAAAATACTTTTGGTTTGTCAGTATGATTCCCTGATAATGCTAGAGATGTTTCCCATCATGTCTCGTCCTGCTGTGCAGTGGTCCTCTATACATAATGGCAAGTTTTACGCCTTAATCTGATTCCAGTGCTTTCATGCTAGTCAAAAGCTAGACGCCATTAGCCAAAGTGCAAGCCTGCCCAGCATGGGCGTCTGGTCTTTAAGTGAAGAATGGGAAGAGTTTTGAAAGGCCTTTTGAGCTTGGAGCAGCTTTTACAGCTCTTGAGTTACTTAAGATTTCTTCAGCCACTGCTGAATAATGTGTGACTGGACTAAATCTAGGTCTTTTGTTTATTTCGTACGTTCTTGGTTAAAGCGTCGAACCTCTACGAACTCTGGGTGTCTTCATTGACATCAATCACGCTGATGGGCCTGGGAAACCGGCTGTTGTCTTTGAGACGGTCTCTTGCGACGTCTGTTAAGTGTTTCTCCTTATCTTGTTTTCCGATGGAACTATACAGGAATACAGAACAGCGGTCTTGCTTTGCTAAAACAGCCATGTAATTGATTTTCTTGGGGTTTTATTGCCCTTGCAGTTTTCTGTTCGATGTGGTCAGCCGGCTTCTCTTCTCTAATTAAAGTGGATTAGATTACATTCAGTTTGTTAATGTAATTTTATGCATATTTAAAAGTCTGAACCTTTTAAGACTTGTTAATGTTAAGTCAGAGCCGTGGCCTAACAGTAAAGCATTGGCGCTCATGCAGGAGATAGGAGTTCGATTCTTCTCGTGCCATGAACCTATCGTACTTCAGTTTCCGATCTCTCCTTAACTGTGAGAAGATTTAAAGCGGGGGTCTCCAACCATCCTCCAACCCCAATCAAACACTCATGAACTAGATAATCAACCTGGTCAGGGTTACTTACATTTCAGGCAGGTGTGAAAAAAATCAGTTTTATAAAATCTAGACTGGCATTATGCAAATTTGGGTAACACTTTATTTGACGGTGTCCCTGCTACATATGTTACATGTACTTACCGTAGTAATAACAGTAAATTATGCATAATTACATGCAACTAATCCTCAACCAAATCCTACCCTAACCCTATAGTAAGTACATGTAGTTTCTTAATATTACTCAGTACTTAGATATATAATTACACTGTAACAATGACACCTTAAAATGAAGTGTAACCCAAATATGTTGCGAACCAACATAGGTTCATGCAGGAAGTAAGACCGAAGTTACTGACGACTCATTTCAGGCAATTCAGAATCGGTTGTTTCTTTCGGGAGACAATGACCGGTATCTACTTTGAAACTTTGCAGATCTTTTACATTCACAGACAGCCATATTACACACTGCATGAAAAGTATGAAGGTAATCTGAAAAAGCATAATAGGGGGCACTTTAAATGGTATAACAAACGTCTTAAAGGGATTCTCCACTTTTTTGGAAATAGGCTCATTTTACAACTCCCCCAGAGGTAAACTGTTGAGTTTTACCGTTTTTGAATCCATTCAGCCGATCTCCGGTTCTGGCGGTACCACTTTTAGCATAGCTTAGCATACATCATTGCCCGTGCCTGAAAATAGTTCCGTTGTGTTGACGGAAGGTAGCCTATTTTTAGGCGCTGCGTCATATCATTACGCCTGCTGCACTCAGCACTCATTTCAAAACGGTAAAACTCAACAGTTTAACTCTGGGGGAGTTGTAAAATGAGCCTATTTCCAAAAAAAGTGGAGTATCCCTTTAATGGTCGTTTTAAGAGGCCCTAAATTTTGGGGATGGAAGAACAGGAATCACGATACAGCCTAATGTGATTATTAAACATCAAAAGGCGATGATTTCATTAAAGAAAAAGTGTTGCACGTTCAAAGTCAAAATGCAGTGCTTTTGCGCGTTCTAATTATGACTATGTTTACTTTATGTTGTTTATATTGTAATATGTGTGGTAGATGCAAATTAATCTCCCTCATCTTTTTGAAGTTTATTCGTCTTTTTTAAAGCACTCCTGAATTTTTCCACTTATGGTGTGTTCACACCGAACGCGAATAAAGCGTCAAATACGCGTCTATCGCGTCTAGTTAGGCGCTTGAACATTCGCTCATGTTCAAATTTTTCAACTTGCGCGGAAGACATTCGCAACAAGCGCGTCGCCCAATTCGCGTCATTTGCAACGCCCGGCGCGAATGATGCGTCTATTCGCGTCTTTGCATTGACTTTGTATGTAATCTACTCGCGCAAATAATTAAATTCGCGTTCGGTGTGAACACACCATTAAGAACACAGAACACGGGCTCTTTGAGTAAAAAAATAAAACAAACCGTGCAGGGCTTGATGCTTACTATGAGGGAAAGATTTAATTAATGCTTATATTCACATATAGGGGCTTTTTAATGATTATTTATTAATGTCAAACAGGAAGAACTTTCAGAATAAATTTTAGCCAGAAAATAATCTCTTGATGGGGGAATTCACAAACTCTGCAGGTTAATCTTCAGGGCAGATCTGCTTAAGCCTAGTTCACACTACATGATTTTAAGCCCGATTTGCAAATCGTTGAGCGCGCCGACAGGTCAGGGTGTTATGGCGTGCAAATCGCGGGGGATTAGCGGGCGATGAACGCTCGCCAATCTGTTAGTATGAAAGAGCCAACAACGCATCAAAGACGTTAGCAGACGCGTCGCCGAGCCCAGAAAAATATCTAGCATGCTAGATTTCCAGAGCTGTCGCACGACTCAACCTCACGTGATGTCATGAGCTACAGCCAATCAGAGCATGGCATGGGTTGAGGTCACCGGGTAAATCTTTTTTTTTTTTTTTGGCGTTTTTTCTCAGAGCAAATCATCGCGCAAACAGTTTGCAGCACTAGTTTCTGTCTGACGTCCATATTCGCGTTTTGTGTTCTTCTTCGCTGGGTATTAGCGCGCGTGCTGTTTCGCGTCATTTCCGGTTCGTTTTATCGCGTGATTTTTCATGTCAAAACGTGGTTTGTAGACAAGATAGAATGACAGAGTTGTTGTCAACTCGTGTAGTGCGTTACCTCCTGTTGCGGATCAATCACGTTGTGTCGTGTGGTAGGGTTGCGGCGGTGAGGATAATTTCCCACCGGTTATTCGACGTGTGACAACACCGGTAATCCCGGTGTCACCGTGGGGGGCAGGGCGGGGGGGTTAAATAGCTTTTAAATGCGTGCGCGTTATACTTTCACTTTCGAAATAAGCGTCCATTGGCAATTCAGCGCTGACAATTCAAAACTCGCTGATAATAAAACTTTTATTTATAGACAGAACTTTTATTAGCTAACAAACGAATAAAAATAACCCCATGCATAGGCTGAAAAAAGTGAAAATCGGCAAACTGTGGGCCCAAACAAATAAGAACCATAAAACGTTTATTAACGAATAAGAAAATAAAATAGGCCTAAATAAATTACACAAAGTTTAAATAAGATAAAACCAAATAAATAAGAGACGAATATAAAATCTCCACACGTGCTAAATGGAATTAGACTCCTGATGCTTGCTGATCTGTGCCGTGACTGGCTCTTTGCACGCACTGCGCAGTTCAGTTTTTAATTATAATGTATGCTCTCTTCTGAACTAAATAATTGATAATTGTTATTTTTAATTAATTCAAATAAATATTTTAGCAAAAACGAATACTTTAAAAAAGTCAAGACATCGCGGTGTCACGGTGGGAAAGGGATGTCACCGGTGATGGGGCTTAAAACCGGTAACACCGTCTATCGCGGCAAGCCTATCGTGTGGTGTGAACAGCTCAACAACTTGAACACTCCTGATTTCACAGAGAGCAAGTCATTTAGTGTGAGCCGCACAGTTCAGCCTGACGTTTTAAAATCATGTAGTGTGAACTAGGCTTTACACAAGAACTTGCTGCCAAGAAACACTTTCAGATTGGTCTGGAGTCGCCATCACATGTGTTTAAGCTCTGCTTGTTCTTGCTGTCCCCCCCCCCCCCCCCCCCCCCCCCCCCCAGCGCTTCATTGAGTCCCGTCATGTGCCAGGCAGTTTGTTTGGTGTGCAGTGTCAGGGGAATATCCATCTTTCCGCAGAGCTGTCCCTCATATCCATTAATCAAGACACTTTCTCCTGATGGAACACACCTTAATTAGCATCTAACTGCTTTATGCCTGCGCTTCTAGTGAGCGAATCAGTGAGTGTGAATGCAAAGCAGTCAGGCAGAGGTTCATTTGAGACACGCTCCAGCCGTCCCACGGGCCCCGTCGCGTCTTCGCTGACACTTAATCCCGGGCCTGGATGATTGGCAGCGAACTGCTCTGCCGCCAATGACGCTCGTGTTTTTCCATCCACCTGCTTTTGTTTCAGGTCATTGATAGCCCTGAGGTTCACATGCTGAACGGGGGAGGAGGAGCGGGAGGAAGAGGAGCGAGACGAGAGCTAGATTGAGTTTCCTTGGCGACCGGTGGACCCACTTGAGGCGATGACTCTGGAGAATGCAACATGCACACTTGAGGTGAGGGGCGATGCCAAGCGGTATTTTGCCGCTGTTCTGTAACTTTATGTGTCTGTGTCTCTTGTGGTTCTCAATGTAGCTACATTTTCTGTATCTGATCTTGCCGAACAGCTGTAATGAATAAAGTAGTTTCCTGGAAATAAATCATTTGTACTTTATCTCTATTATGCTGTGCAGTAACCACTGCTGATAAGTGTTCAGGTTTTGGTTCTTGTCTGTTCTTATGAGCTGGGATTTATTTCTGTAATCTAGTTTGTAGTGTTCCTCATTGAGATGTTTTAACAGTGGATCTTTTGCTTAATGAATTGCCCATTTGCTCTAAGAGTAATAAGTAATGGTGTTTCATACTAATTTGCCTTGAACATCACCTTAGTCTAGTGGCTATTTTGCTCAATTTAAAAAAAAAAAAAAAACATTCCATGTATAGACTTTCGTGTGCTCACAGGTTACAATTTCTAGTTTGTGTATACTATAACCTATAGGGCTGCACGATTATGACAAAAATCATAATTGTCAATTATTCCCTTGAAATTGTAATTGCAATTTATTAATTACGATTATCACAATTTATATTGAATGAGGTTTTGAATAGCTTTATACTATTGTTTGAAGCAACTGCATGCCATATTTGTATATAAAAAAATAAGCTGAAAACTCTTCCTGAAAAACTTTTATTACTTTTCTATAACATTAAGCCTCAAATGGCAACTATACATTGTTTTGGTTTCTTCTTTAAATAAAAAAAAAGGTAAAAATAACAGTGTTTCCTCTAGGATTTTTTCCAGCCGTGGTGGCAGGCCCATTTCGCCAGGGGGAGGGGGCGTGGCCCATGAGTGATATTCCCATTGACCACGCCCCCTTATCCCAGGTGTTTAAACCTCCCCTAAGCATTATTACATGAAAGGCGCCAAAAAGAGCGGCAAAGCGATTATGCGCATCCCGTGCGCAGAGTGATCAGGGTTTCCGGGGGGTCTTAAAAAGTCTAAAAAAAGTATTTTCAAATAAAATAAAAATTTCAAAATGTTTTTTTTTTTTTTTTGCGTGGTGTTGTAGTTCCTTATTTCGCTAGTCCAAATATAATTCGCTGTATTACGACTACAAAATAGACCAACATGCAACAGCCAATCAGCTTTGTGCATCCATCTAAGCTGTCTTCAGTACTGTTCAGTTTGAATAAATTAATTTACTTTGCAAGTAATTTTGAGACTCTGCGTTTCCTTGTACGTTTTTTTTAATGTCGTGATATAGGTCTTAAATTTAATTCATAATGGTCTTAAAAAGGTCTTAAAGTCTTAAATTTGACTTTGTGAAACCTGCAGAAACCCTGGTGATGCACTTGAAGCAACGCAAAGTCACAGCGTGCAGCGCTTCGCATTGAGAAGTTCAAAGCACAAAGCGAAGAGATTATATCTATCTATGCTTAATGTATTATATCTATGCAACAGTTTATAGAGCCTTTTCTTTTAACAGTTTTAAATTTCAGTTAACTTACAGTGCGCATGAAGAACAATTCATACATAGCGCTCTCTACTCTAGTGCTGTAATCTAACAGACACCCGGGAGAAAGCATTATTATTTAGAAAGCGCTATAAACTCCAGCAAGATAAAGCAATTTTTTGCAAACTATAGACCTTTATCTACAAATAAAGTATAATAATGGGAACATTGATCTTGAAGAGAGTGTCGTCGTGTTACTGTGACGTGCTGTTTGAATGCTGAATGGAGAATGACTGAGGAGAGATGAGTTTCCATTAACTTTAACTTAACGACTTAAATATACATTTTTACCTCACATTATGCTATTGAATGACTTTAGAAGTCTTGGAATATAGCGCGAAAACTGTATGGTGCTTTACAATGTTTTGTATGCCTTTAGTGGGGCTTAAGAATAACACATACAATATCGGACCGAGAAGCTGCGGCCGTGGCGGGATGATTTTAGGTGTGGCGGAAACACTGAATAAATAAAATGCATGGTATAATAATAGGGGCTTTCGCACTGGGTAGTTTTAGGAACAAGCCACCAGGATGGTTCCCCGAGAACTAATGGTTCCCTATGGCCGTTTTCCTGGTTGCATTCGCAGTTTCGCACCGGCAGTAGGAACTCTGAAGTGATGTAAGCAATGCTTTTTGTCGCTAGCTGAGCAGAAATATGCATGTTTGGCTTGGTCCCCTCAAAGTTGCGTTGGATTTTCTCCTCCGCATAAAAGGTTGAGAGGTCCATCTCTCACTGTTTTCCATGTTCATAGAGTTAGTTTGTGGAGAAGCCTAAATATATAGGCTATAATCTGTGAGTTTACATAGCTTTTTTAAGAATGGCGGCTGCCTGTGTTTCGCGTGTGTTCGACCAATCAGCGTACACTAACGTCACGGATAGTTCCTATGGTACTGGGTTCTCTGAAGTAGTCGTGATAAGCCTCTCACAACATAACATGCTCCAAACACATCTCATAAGCACGCACTGCAGAAGTCATTTTAAAAAGTATTTTTTTGTAATCGCGGCTTTGAACAATTATGGAATCGTGGCATCGGTAATCACAATTAGAAATTCGATTAATTGTGCAGCCCTACTATAACCTAGTGATGTATGTCTCGAGACCGGTCTTGGTCTCGAGACCGGGGTCTTGTCACGGCCTTGACGGTCTTGGTCTTGGTCTTGTCTTGGTCTCGGACCTCTCGGTCTTGCCTAGGTCTCGCTGTCTCAGACCGACATAGTGGTCGGGGGATTTAGCAATACAATACTACAATATCCACGGCGATATCCGCAACGGATTGAAGCGCGCGTCCGAGTGAAGACAAGTGCGGTGTGCGCGAGCCACACGAGAAAACACTGTATCCGCGCCACTGATCGCAGCGGCAACGAGCACTTTGATCACTTGATTTAAAAAAACACATATCATGTACAGTTTTTGATGTATTAATATTTAGTAAAACACATATCAGTGACATGATGGGTTTTAACTTCATTCAGGAGATTTTGGGTAACTGCACAACTGACAGATGACATTGAGCGCACCGCCAACGGTGTGTGTGTGTGTGTGTAACCATAGCGACAAAACGACCAACTTTCGGATCCTGCACTTAAGCCTATAATTTCGTTTTTAAAAATATAATGATGTATTTAAAAGTTGCAAAATGGATTCATTTGGAGACTTCGAAATCAGCAGAGATAGGCAGGCAATGCAAAACAAAATCTTACAAGTTATTACTTAGCTTCAACACTAGTCTGTTTTTTTCCCTCCGGTCTCGACTTTGTCTTGGTCTTGGTCTTGGTCTTGTCTTGGTCTTGGTCTTGGTCTTGGTCTCGGTCTTGGTCTCGGTCTTGGTCTCGGTCTAGTCTTGGTCTCGATACTCTCTGGTCTTGGTAGTGTCTTGGTCTCGGTCTTGGTCTCGGTCTTGGTCTCGGTCTAGTCTTGGTCTCGATACTCTCTGGTCTTGGTCTGTCTTGGTCTTGGTCTTTGTCTTTGTCTTTGTCTTTGTCTTTGTCTTTGTCTCGGTCTCGGTCTCGGTCTTGTCCTCGATACTCTCTGGTCTTGGTAGTGTCTTGGTCTCGGTTTAGGCGGTCTTGACTACAAGTCTACTATAACCTATTTACTTTGTGTGACTCTGCCATCTTACTAGAAAACGAGAGCATGGATTACGGGTTCATAAAAAAGATTTGAACAGTAAAAAATGCAAATTTGGCTTTTGTTAGGGCAATACCTGTAATATCAAGGCCTAATGTCCGGTTTACCGCATCCGAGACACCACACTGGGAAATGTCCTCATGGCACAATACAGCTTTGTACACCGTCCTTTATTCTAAGTTTAATGGTTCATTAAAAATGGTTGGAACAGTAAAAAAAAGTCCTTAAAATTTGAATTTTGTTAGGGCAGTATATTTATATTGTCCCATATAAAACTCTAATGGACAATTAAAAAATCCTTACAGATGGAGGAGAAATGCTGACTTCATTCATTTTTAACAGCACTTCTTGAGCAGACGTACTGCCCTAAGAAAAGGCCAATTTTGAACAAGTTTTTACTGTACCGATCTTTTTTTTTAATGGCCCCTTGAACTTGGCAAAAAGGGACAATAGACGTGTCGTGCCATAAGACCACTTCCCAGCCCGGTTTCTTGGTCGCCACCGAGGATGCGTTAAAGCGGACATAAGGCCTTGATATTAAAAGTAATGCGCTTATGAAAGCCAATTTTTGACCAAATAGATCTCATGCACATCAACTCTTGTTTTCTTCCTAGTACGATGGCAGAGATGCACAAAAGAAACAGGTTATAGTTTACATAAACTCGAAATTATAACGCTTGAGCACGCCAAAAATTCTCGGAAGTATGTATTTTATATTTTTGCAGAGGTCCCTCCGTACTATTGAACAAAGTTTTTATTTCAAAAGAATACATATTACAACAATGAAATGTTTACAGTCACTTACAACATAATAGAGTGTACATTACCTCACAGAATGATATGAAATTTTGACAGCTACGAATACAGCCATATTCGCAAGGTCTGAGCACGCTTGCAGATCATTCCTCTTATATAGCTACACAAGAGAGCACAAATAAATCATATTTAGGAAAGACCTGAACAATACAAGTAATTGTAAACAGTATCATTTACCCAATTTATTTTACATCCCTCCTTATCTAGATCAAGAGCAATCATTAATCATTTGAGTTCTTTCCTGTTTGGTGCTCTTAAATTTGTGTTTATCTCTAATAAGTTGGAAAATGTATTTGTGCTTTTTTTGCCGCATATTTATGCTTTTTAATAATCTTATAAGGAAGCTATAAGATTACATTAAAGGCTAAACCAAAATGCATAAAGTCAACTTTTTTGTGTGTATTCAAGAATAAACGATTAACACTCGAGAGGCCGTTTAAAAAAAAAACATTTTTAACAACATTTTTCCCATAACATTATTGGGTCCAACGCAGGAATCAAATTTGAGTCTCCTCTTGCTACTTACCAATACTGCAGAAAAACTGTTAATATTACTTT